CGGCACCCCTGGGAGCCAGCTCAATGTGCACAGCTGGGTGGGGGACGTGGTGGCAGGGACCTGGCCGGTGGCTCGTCCCTGATGGCAAACCTCCATCAAAAGGAAGCGCAGGGAGATCGAGTCACCCCGACTGTCACCAGAGAGTGCAGGGCTGGGCTTTACTGGCCACGAGTGGGATGGTCCTGCCGGCCAAAGGGGTGTAACGTGGTGAGGGAGAGATTCTGGCAGGTCCATGCCAAGAAGTCCAGCAAGAGATGAGCTGCCCCGTTGCCGTCTCTCATTGTATCTCTTCACCTGCTGCTTCTGCTGCCGTTTCTCCAGGTCGGTGACTCTGGTCCCCCATGGATTGGAAAACGCTGCAGGCGCTGCTCAGTGGGGTCAACAAGTACTCCACAGCCTTCGGCCGCATCTGGCTCTCCGTGGTCTTCGTCTTCCGCGTGCTGGTCTACGTGGTGGCGGCAGAGCGGGTCTGGGGAGACGAGCAGAAGGACTTTGACTGCAACACGCGGCAGCCGGGCTGCACCAACGTCTGCTACGACCACTTCTTCCCCATCTCCCACATCCGCCTCTGGGCCCTGCAGCTCATCTTTGTCACCTGCCCTTCCCTCCTGGTCATCATGCACGTGGCCTACCGGGAGGACCGCGAGAAGAAGAACCGGGAGAAGAATGGGGAGAATTGCCCCAAACTCTACAGCAACACGGGGAAGAAGCACGGCGGGCTGTGGTGGACCTACCTGCTCAGCCTCTTCTTCAAGCTCATGATAGAGATCCTGTTCCTCTTCCTCCTCCACAAGATGTGGGACAGCTTTGACTTGCCACGGCTGGTCAAGTGCTCCAACGTGGACCCCTGCCCCAACACTGTGGACTGCTACATCGCTCGGCCAACTGAGAAGAGAGTCTTCACTTATTTCATGGTCGGAGCCTCCTCCATCTGCATCGTCCTCACCGTCTGTGAGATCTTCTACCTCATCTTCAAGCGGGTTGTGCGGAAAGCACAGAAGTGGAAGAAGTCCACCAAGCGCTCCGTCAACTACAG